CTGTATTATTCAGCAACAAGTTCTCTGTGTCAAACATCTGAAATATGATCATGTTATGAAACCGGTGATGAAGGCTATTAATTATATTCACTCCAAAGCCCTGTGCCACCTCCAGTTTCAACAGTTTCTGCTCCACATCCAGGCTGAATACGGAGATGTTGTGTATCACAACGAGGTAAGATGGCTCAGTCGGAGGTCTGCATTGCAGCGCTTCTACTCTCTTAGGTAGGAAATCGGACAATTCTTGGCAAAAAAGGGACAACTGATGCCAGAGCTATCTGATCCTGTTTGGCTGGCTGATTTTGGATTTTTAGTTGACATAACACGACATCTTAATGTGCTGAACATGAGCCTTCAGGGGCAAAATGCAGTGGTAAGCCAACTGTATTCACACAGCAAAGCCTTTGGGACCAAGCTGCTACTTTTCCAAAGGCACCTGTCACAAATGCAGCCCAATACCACACATTTCCCATTGCTGCAGGAAATAATGACCAGTTTTCCACAGAACAATATGAGTGTGCAAATAAGGAGGTATGAAGCAGACATCTCATCTCTGTCTGAGGAGTTTCAACAGCGCTTTCGGGATTTTGCAGCTATTGAAAAGGAGATCACGCTTTTTTCATCTCCTTTCTCTGTGGACCCTGATGATGCTCCAGACCACCTGCAGCTGGAGCTCATTGAGCTGCAGTGTGACGCCGAGTGTCGCAGTCAGCACCAACAGCTCCCTCTTGTCAACTTGTACCGCCAGCTGGATAAAGACAGGTTCCAAGAGATTCGAACATTTGCTAAGAAAATGCTGAGCTTGTTTGGTTCGGCATACTTGTGCGAGAAGACATTCTCGGTTATGAAGATTAACAAGAACTGCGTGAGGACGAGACTAAGTGACTTTCACCTGCGTGACATCTTGCGCACCAAAACCAGTTTTTGAGCCAGACCTGGCCTATATAATGCAGTCAAGATCTCAGTATCACTCTTCACATTAGTGCAGTTATTTGTTTAGTCTTTCATAAAATAGTTCATTTGCATTTAATGTTAATGGTTCAAAGAATGTCAGGCTGAATGGTCGGCCCCCACACATTTTCACCTCACCAAATCTGGCCCTCCTTGCAAAAAGTTTGGACACCCCTGCTGTAGAGGAACCACAGCACTATGAAGATAGCACATTTCATTTGTTGTCCTCAATATCACAGAGCTGAGGAAGTGAGTCTCTCACAAACCACACCTCAATTTTTTTCCCTAGGTCTGAAAATCCCCTTGGCTTGCATATAGAGTCAACAAGGTTTAAAATGCTTCCCATCTTTGTGTCTCCCCTGTCCACCCTTCCCAAACACTCAAATTTTGTTATTACAGGTTGTGTTTGTGCATGCCCACATCTAGGATTCTTTCTGCATAGCGTTTAAAAAAAAAAACTTTAAAGGTCCTTTATCAGAATCCTTCCCCTTCCATTTTACAGACTGCACAGCAACTGACTGCCCAAGCCATACAACCACATGAAGATTTCAAGAAAGTGAATCCCTTACAGTACCTTTCCTACCTCAAAATCAATGACAGTATTGAGCATTTATTGTTCTAAAATGTGGTAGGTTGCATGTTTACAATGACTGCTATTTTTCTATATATTGCCCATCCAACAAGTTTGACCTACAAGTCCTTGTAGCTTCTCCAGACTTGACTTACCTGTCACCTTACCCAGACCAGTAGACTGCAGAAATTTCATTCCAGTGCATCATCTGGAAGGACTCATAGTAATGATGTGTGAGAAATCCAGTTTGGTGTTGAAAGTCTGTCGGATTTCCTTGGCTCACCTCCCTGGCCTCAGTCCTGCTTTCTCTCTGCTCTAAGTCAATTTTGCACTAACCATTTGTGCAGACATCTGGAAGGAAGCAATTCCCATTGCACAGGTACAACTAGTGAGGCTGGCTTGTGCACACACTGCCTGCTGCCTGTGTACCTGCTGTGTGAGCAGAATTCTGCTTCCCATATATGTGATTGCAGGTTTTTCATACTATGCACAATACTTCAGTACAAAAAGGGGGCTGCTACATTCCTAAGCATTCATGGTCCTGCTCTCAGATTGGCCTGCTTCCCAGGCCAAGCTCCAGAATGAAGCCTGGATGGATCTTCACATCACTATTCTACTGTCATTAAAGAACAAAACATCCAATTGTAATGAAGGTTCTGGTACACTCTATGTAGGAGGTAGGCACCTAGACTATGTAGGGGTTGGCACATAGGAACTTATGGGTCAAACTGCATCTTTTGAGGCATGGTGCTTTGTAGTTCTAGACAAAAAATGGTTAATATTGTTGGTATTTCAGGTTTTGGAAATGTCTGGCTACATATTTGTCTGGACTTAAATGGGGGTGGACTGACTAAAGATAAAAGTAGAGATGAAGATAAATATCACAATCCAGTATAATGGCTTTAACTACAATGAATTATTGGACTGTGACCACTAGAATGACAGAAGGGCACCCATAACTGAGGAATCCAGTGGGCAACAGATGTAGCAGCATAGAAATCATTGGCCATAAGACACTGAAAAAGAGCTATGCATAAATGCTTCAATCAAGCAGCAGAAAGCTGAGTGTTCAAAGGTTTCAGATTAAACAGCCTACACACATTACTGGGAAAAAAGATGGTAAACAAGTCAAGAGGCGAGTGGCTGACAACAAAACTGTCTAGTCAGAGCCTTAAGAAGGAAAGGTAAGGAGCCTGCAGACAGTCTTATTAGGGTGTACCAGGTGTTCTGATAGTTTTGCACTGCAATTAGGACTTTGCCTAAGACTGTTGCAAGGAAGAAAAACAATGCCTGATCCCTCAAGTTTTGAAAATATAAAATTCAGTTGGTTCACAGCCCATACTCATTTATTGTAATCTATACAAATACACATTGTTGCTCCAGTCAAACAAGTAATTAAGTCAAGGTAATGTGCAAATGTATTTTTAAATTTCAAGAATATTACTTTAAGATGTTGCAAGATAATATATCCTATCATTTTTAAAGTACTTCCATAATCTGTTAAGATTGAAGGGCATATCCCAAACTACTATTATTTATAAAGCATCCTAAATTTTCTAAGTGATGTATAAAGACACAACCCCTGCCTTCAGACATCTAAAGGAATGACTGTAAAGAAAATGGTAGAGGGACATAAGATGAATAGAAAACAATTCAAAACTTTCAAAACTTTCCCATTATACACATTCCAAGATACATGAAGATCAACCTATAATGAGTGACAATTAATAGTCATCATATTGCAAATTATATATCTGCATAAGTCTTAGAGGAGTCAAATATGAACCTGATTTTTTAAAAATATTTTATTTCTTATTAATCAGATTTCAAAATATGTCATATCCATAATCACTCTTCAAAGAGATAATTGCAACAATTCAGTTTCCTATTTAAACTTATAATTTAAGCTCTTTGAAGAATATCTGTTTTCCCTTTCTTTAATAATGTCAAGTATTTTCTTTATTGCCAAGATCAAACCCTTTACCGTGACAATACTTTCAAGTTCCCTGTGATTATAAATTATCATGGTTCATATGTACTTGCACAGTATTTTACATTCTGGTGACAGAACAAAACGAAGTATTATTCTTAAGCCCACAGAAGGAAAATATTTTCTTTTGTTCTTTCCCTATTGATTTGTCAGAACAGTTCTAAACAGGGATAGCTTTTAGGCTATCTAAAAGTTGCTGTGCTTTATTAAGTTGTACAACTCCCAGACCTGGGAAGCTCTATTAATATTTCAGCATGCAATGAAAATTGATTGGTTTTGTTTCTCTGCCATTCTGTGATTTTAATAACTGACTTGTTATATAATGTTTAAAATGTTACTCAGCTTGTGTGTGTGTGTTGTTATTTGTAGAACAATTCTATGGTTCCTAGGAGGGATGCTGTGGATTCCCTCACTCTGCCAAGGCCATACAGAGGGCGATAACTTGGTGTGTGAGAGGGACGGGTGTGGGGAGACCAAGCAAGGAATTCACTAACCCTGTCCTCCTTGTGCTCTCAGATAGCTCCCCCAGGACATCTCTTCTCCAGCTAGATTCCCCTGAGTTCAGGGAAGCAGGAAAAGGGGTGAGAAGGGAGAAGAAGGAAGAAATGTGCCAAATACATCACAATCTTCTTCTTTTTAAGGTAGCCTTTTTACAGTAAGACAGATTGTCAAGAATGGCTACTTGTCAAAATTTGGACCAATAACTTCCCAGTCCAAAGTGTTCTGGTACTCCAGGAGATCCTTTTTGCTTTCTGATTCAAGAGAAGAAGAAAATATGAACCCATTCCTTTCCCTCATGAGAAGACAGAGTTACACAAGATACAGTAAAACCTTGGATTGAGAGTAACTTGTTCTGTGAGTGTTCCGCAAGACAAGCAAACATTTCTAAGAAATTTTAACTTGATGAATAAGCATTATCTTGCAATATCTTGTATGTGATGCCAAACATCACATGATCACAACTGAGCCAATGGTTCTCTCTCTCTCTTGCTACGGGATTGTGGGTGATAGTCTCCCATGCTCAGATGCTCAGTCTCAGGCTGCGGTGTTTGGCAGAAATCAGGAGAAAAAGGTGGAGGAATCCTTCACTTCAAATGAGATTAGGGAGAGGTGTACAATGTGGGAAACAATGCAAAATTTTGTAGAAAAGGACCACCTGAATAAGGCTGTAGCAGTGTAAGCAATGAATATGTTTGACGACAATGCAATGTCACATTTCTGTAAAAAGGAGGCAAAAGCAAGTGTCATTGGATAGGTTCCTTGTTAAAGTTGCACAAAAAAATTCCATTGAGCCAACAGATAGCAGTGATTCCATTAGTACTAGTGAAAGTCATCCTATTCAAGAACCCTCCTCTCACTTGACTCCCTCACACCAGCCATGCAGGTTTTCAAGGGTAAGTGCAGATTAATTTGTTTTATTTTTCTTTATATTTTGTATTTTCTTTATTTTGTATTATATTACAGTATTGTAATAATTGTATAAGAATATTTTTGGGTTAATCAAAACTGAATTTTATTAACAATGTATATCTACTATATATACAACCATCCTGTGTCGTCATTCCTGGGAACCACTTTTTAGAAATGGTTTGGCTTCTTCTTCTTCTTCTTAGGGAACAACAGTTGTTGCTTTCCTGAGAGTGAGATAACCCATAACAACATCTGATGGAAGCATCCGAATGTAGGCAAATTCCTCAATGGTACTAAATCTCAGTTTGCTCTGTGGGTCAGTATAGTTTGCCTAAAAGAGGAACACATATGAGTGGAAGAATCTGAAAACACACTTTTCAGTATGCAAAAATTAACATTTTAGGGATAGACCTACAAAAAGCTATTTAATTAGCTAATCAATAACCTTAACCTGCAACTGAAGCAGTATATGCCTGCCTGAAGAAACAACAGGTTTCTGTAAAACTGATTAACCTCCTCACTCCTGGGCTTCATTTGCTCTTGCAGGGAAGGAATTACACACGACACCTAAAAATGTACCTTAAGAAAGATGTGCTGAGTAGCAAAAAATTAGTAGCACAACAGGAACCTGAATTTGCTCAAAAAAGCCAGAGTAGTGAGCAGGGGAGAGGTACTTAATCCTTGCCTGAATTACTTTTCTCTTACACTAGGCTCACTCTGTCATTTCTCTCCCACTTGCAGCAAACATGTGCCTAGTGCATTCAGCTGGAAAAGGGTAGGCAGTGGAAAGGTTAGGTACCATCCACCTGAACTCAACTTTCCCCCTTCAAATCATGCTCTTGCCTGTCACTTTCCAGATATTTGGTTCAGTTCCCTCATTACTCTTCTGAACTGTGCCTTGAGCTGGGCCCCTACCTGTGCCTGAACTAGTAGCAGTCAGCACAGGGACTGATATCATATGCATGGAATTAGCATACCTAACATTCGGAAGGCCCTTATTAGAGTGACTCAGAACTGGTTCCTACTTGGCAACTAACCTTTTGAATTTTCCAGTTTTCAATCAGATGAGGAAAAAGACATCAAACATATTCACACCTGTTAAACACCATTCTGCCAGTTTTGGTGGGTTGGTAAGAGAAAGGGGTTGTGCTCTTCTAGGCAGCAATTTCAGTATGGATCAAGTCAGCTTGTAACTTGGGCCTATAACTTGGGGATGATTTTGTTTAAAATCACAATCCTAGAAACCTACAAAGCAATGGTTTCCACAGCTTTATTTTTACCTTCAGGGAATGGAAAGGTATACCAGAAGTCAACAGAACATGGAAATGTATCAGCTCACACTGTGCTTCCATGATATGGTCAATGTTATGCTGTGGCTACATTTAAAATGTCAAGATTGGCAGAGGCAGGGAGGTAAAGTGTCTTTCAAAGAAGACCACCACTATTACAATCTTCTCTTTCATTCATTTTGCACATAATGGTGCCGAATCATGGGTTAATGAACCTATAATTTACCAGGGTGTGTGCTGCATGCAAGATAATACCAGATACTATGGGCTGTTTGTGGATTAAACAACACACACTTAACTTACAACTAATTTATTTATTTATTTTTATGTATTTATTAGGTCTATATCCTGACCTTTTCTTTTAAAGAATGCAAAGCAGCTTACATCATTCTCCTCCTGCTGCTCTCAATCTTATCCCTACAACAACAACCCTGTAAGGTTAGGCTGAGAGACTATGACTGGGCCAAAGTCACCCAGTTGGCTCCATGAATGACTGGGTACTAGAACCAAGATTGCCTGAGTCCCAGTTGTTAACTACTACATCACACTGGCTCTCTGAATGAGATAATTTCAGGTAAATTTCAGTTGTTTAATCCTTGATTTGCCACTACAAAGTGTGAAAGGACCCAGTGAGTATTCTGAAGGACCCCAGAGTTCCCCAGAACTCAATCCGAGAACTACTGCTAGCAAGGACCCTCCTTTAGTACAGATCCTCCTTTAGTACAGATCCTCCTTTAGTACAGAGGTTTGGAGCAGTGCAGGTTGAAGCCCACAGAGAACTAGAAACATAAACAAATACTTACAGGAAGTCCTGAAATATCAGAGTATTTCTTGGCTGGTTTAAAGGAAGGAGGAGCATCAATACTGAAATCTTGAGGTGTGCCAGAAAGAGAAAAAATAGTATTAAATCCATAATCATTATCCATTATCTTTCTTTATTATCATGTTCTTAATTTGCAAGCTGCTGGGACTCTGGCCTGACACAAGTCTAATTCCCATTCCTTCACAATGCAGAACATTAATCAGGATGAGGTCAAAGGCTAATGATAGCAATGGCAGGACATTCTACATGTTCTCACTGGCAATACCATTACCAACCAGCATGCACTGGTCATTCTGACTACGTACAAACAGAAAGGAGCTATTCTGATTAGGTACAAACATAAACAATTCATGTTCCAGTGCTGTATACCTGCTTATGAAATCAGTAAGCACCAGTTCAAATACTAGTTATTCAAATTATGAACATATATTGGGTGTTTGCTAAAAGTGTGGTGTCTGGCCACAAGATGCCTCTCCTAAAAACCCTACACTGCCTTTTTGTCCATTCCCAGATGCAGCAGAAACACCTCACTTGTACCCTCAAAGCCATGCCTCCCAATATTATTCTTCAATAGCCATCCTAGTACATCCTCACTCATTCCCCTTCCTCCTTTGCTCTCAGCGATACAGAATCATCTTGTTTTATTAATTTGTTACAATTATTTACTTTTTTCCCCTCCAAGGAGCCCAGGTAGCATACACGATCCTTCTCTCTATTTTATCCTCATAACAACCTTGTGATTTAGCTTAGGGAGACAATCAGCTACTGTCTCCAAGTCAACCAGTGAACTTCATGGACAAGTGAAGACTAGAACCTAGAACTTTCAAGTCCCAGTCCAACCACTACACCACGGCAGCTCTCAGGATGCAGTCCCATATCTACTAATCTGGGAGTATGCCCTATTTAACTCTTTGAATTAGTTAATGCATAGGACTGAACATTCTCAAATAACTTTTCCTTTTTTCTTTGTCTGGAATTTCTTCCCAAAACAATGGCATGATGCCATCTGCCTTACTTCAGGCTACTTCTTAAACCCCTTTCTACATAGCCATTAGTTTCACTTCTTGCTTACATCAACTACAAGAACAAAGCCTAAGTGAACTTTCATTCTTCCTCCTTCGATTGCCTTCCTATGTTTTGGTTTGTGAGTTCCTTTGGGCAGGAGTCTGACTTTTTGTTGTTATCGTGTAAAAACGCCACCCATGGGGATTGTACTAAATAATAACAACTACTACTGCTGCTAGAAGTAAGACAGAAAGATAATAAGCAAGCTGATTTAGCTGTAGTTCTGGGCAATTAGGCACATGTAACAACTGGTGGCCCCAGACATGGATAATGAAAGACACATCAAGCCAGTTCCATAGAATTCAGATTAGCATTGCAACACACGTTGGGAAACACATCCAGATGTTCACCTGCATTTGCATTTGCATTTGTTGCTGGTGCAGATTTCTCTTGCTAGATCAGAGGAAGCATTCTCACTAAATTTTCTTAGTTTATCCTACAGATCTGAAATTGAAATCTAAGTGAAGGCAACTAGTTGGTTGAAATGGAGTGCTCTCCATCACTGTGCCCACCATATGTTAAGACAAAACAAAACTTTCCTCAAGATTAATATGTTATAATCTGGGGTGGGGGTAGGGCAAGGAGAAAACTATAATCTTTTAAAATCAGATAAATCTTTAAGTACATGCCATTTTAAGTCAATAACATAGAAAGTTGTGCAAATGTTTAAATGAGAGGCTGGCACAACTGCTCTCTGGAGCTGTTTAGAGAATAAGAGCAAACTGTACCACAAGCAAACTTTTCTACAGCCACAGTGCCTCAAGTTCCAAGAATTCAACATGCCCTTAATTTCACTATATATATTGGCCACAAATCTTTTTTGTGCCTGCATAACTCCTTTCTCCTCAGCTGCACTTCGTAAACAACATTTTATGGCTGAAACAATTCCAGTTCTGATCAGTTCCTTTTAATAATCATTTGTGACACTAATATCATCTGAACAATGGCTTGGACAGTTGCTTTTCTTTCTTTCAACTAGTTGCTTTTTAACAACTATTTAAATATATGCAAATTTATGTCTTGAAACTAAAGAATGTAGGAGATATGACATCAGCAGATGTTTATAAAATATTATAGGAACACATTGCATGTGCTGTTAATACCAGAGTGTGAAAACTAGAAAATTTATTTCTGGACATAGGGTTCAAAATTGAATACAACTCATCTCTTCAACTGACACTTTAATCCTTTATTCTTAATGAAGCTGCTGGATTTAAAATTAAAGGCCCCATATTTTACACTGGAAGATAGTTCAGATCAGGGGTGAGCAACTTGTGGCCCTTCAGATGTTTTGGCCTCCAACTGCAGTCACGAAGTTGTAGTCTAAAATATGAGGCAGGCCACAATTACTTTGTCTGGTGTAGATGGTACTATCACCATGGTGAATTTGCACACTCATGGCTAATTCTGCCCATGCACCACCACCCACTGCATCAGTAGGAACAATTCACATTGTGAGTTGAAGCCACTGCATTGCAAGTTACTCTGCCCAGGTTCTACATCAGCAGACACCTATGGTGATCCCAATAGTCACACTAGCATCCAGGCCAGCTATAAGTTTATTTCTTAAAGAAAAGGGTCATAATTTTAAATAAATACAATAATAATAAAAACAATAATATGGAACTGAAGAATCACATTTTGAAAACGAAATTAATCGGCTTGAATAGTACTCTGGCTAAAGTTGTATCAGTAGTGCAAATGTTTCAGTATCATATCATGTGCCTTTAGCCTGCATTTTATTTGGTTTGGTCCTATTTGGACTCATATCATTTTAGCAAATGATATCTTCCTGTATCAATATGCATTGGACAGTCCCGCTAGAAATTTGTCAAAGTTGACTTGACTCTTTAAGAATGGCTGGTCCAGACACAGCCTGACATTCCTTGCTTGCCCTATTAGGGAAGTTTGTCTGCTATTAGCATTCTTATCGAAGATGTTTTTTCCAGCACTATTGATCATCTCCTTAAATGCACAGCCCTAGGCTACAGTCCTATATGCCATGCATAGTCAACCGAGTCCATTCCAGATGTTTTAGACTACAAATCTCATAAGCAGGAAAACCAGCAGCAAAACAGATGGAAAGCATCAAGTTGTCTACCCAAACCCAGGGCTTGTTCTCATTTGTGTTCACATTTCTTACTTGTATACAAGATTCAGAGAGCAATGCCATGCCACATCATTCATGTTCCTTTCAGTTGTGAAAGTCTCTGCCCACCTTCTGTGGCTGAAGGCCACAGTGTATCTCATACAAATAAACCAATTGAAATATAATTTCAAGGAGCTTGAATTTATAAATATACACATAGCATCAAGGCAGCTTACAGCTTGGATCATTTAATTGCCACGGCAATGCCCTTTCTGATGCAAGGATTTGTTTCAGGTTTTTCCAGGTCCTGTTCTTCTTGCCAGCTGCAGCTCCACCAATGCCAGAATGCTGGAATGGTTAAAAAGTACATTTACAAACAAATGCAGTATAAATACATTCAGCAAGGTTTCTTTTTTCTTGTTTCTTTTCTTCTTTTTGCTCTACTGCTACATTATAATTATTTAATATGTTTACAGCCCCACCTTCTTTCTGCAAGAAACCCAAGGCAGCTTATCCAATCTGCCTCTCCATTTTCTCCTCACAATAACTCTTTGAGTAGGATAGAATGAGAGCCTGCTGTCTGGCCAAAAGTTACCCAGTATGCTCCATGGCTGAATGGGGATTTATGCCTAGGCAATACTGGGTTTCTAAAGTGACTACTGGCAAGTTGTTTCCATACATCTATTAAACATTTGACAAATGCAGCACATTTTCCTTATAACTTCCTTTCCTTTCCTTTTATGTTGTAAGCCGCCCTGACGCTTTTTGCGAATGGGGCGGCATAGACATTGTTTAAATAAATAAATAAATAACTACTCAGTGCAAATTCCCTCTCAGATGGCTGTCCAGTTGCAACTTGAATGGCTCTAGTGTGGGAGAGCCCACAACCTCCCTTGGCCATTGGTTCCATTGTCATACTGCTCTAACAGTCAGGAAATTTTTCCTGGTATCTAGCCAGAATCATACTACATAAAATGTTACTGTACTTTTCCCATATAGTAAAAAGGATTCAACTCTTAAGGTTTTGTTAAAAGCTTAAACATGGAAAGGTAGTCTTACCACTTAATAATTAAGTGAAAAAGGGCCTTCTTGGCAATTGCACGCCACCTCTGGAATAGGCTTTTTAGAGGGGTGTGCCTGGTGCTGATGCTGCTAACATTTCAGTGCCGCACAAAGATTCACCTTTTCTCTAGTTATTTTAACAATGGATTTTAGTTTATATTGTTTAATTATTTATATTATATTTTAATTTTATTGTATTATTTTCTATATTTTGATTATGTTGTTAATATGTTTTGAATATGTTGATTTAATGCTATTGATTTTAGAATGCTGTGTTTTTATATGTGAGCTGTGCAGAAAGTCCAGATATAGACTATTGTGGTGGCATATAAATTCATTAAATAACAACAACAAGCTGCCATATCTCCTTATCTCAAAACTCTCACAAGGCTCTACAGAGAGATTAGAGAGATATGAATATCTTATAAATTAATGCTTGAAAGCAGAAGGTGGCAGCTATGATAGCCTAAGTCTGCAATCCTCTATGCATCCGTCCTGGGACTGAATCCCGTATCATTCAATCAGACTTCCTTTTCAAGTGACATGCCTATGATTGCACTGTAAGGGAACAGATGAGGAATGCTTTTTAGCAACTTAATTTTGAAGGACAGACTCTGTAATCCACTCTATGTTCCCACTGATTTTACTGAGGGGCTACTTCCAAGAAAATGTGGAATCACCAGCTGCTGTATTTATATTACGTGCTCACAACCCGAAAAGCACTACATTGTGGCATTAACCATCAAATGGTACTAAAAATGCTATCACATCCTGCATGTTCTTGCTTGCTTGCTACTTGCGAAGTCGTGTCTGACCCATCGCGACCCCATGGACAACACTCCTCCAGGCCTTCCTGTCCTCCACCATCCTCCAGAGTCCACTTAAGCTCACACCAACTGTTTCAGTGACTCCATCTCTCCACCTCATCTGCTGTCCCCTTCTTCTTTTGCCGTCAGTTTTGCATGTTCTACCAGGTGATAAAATAATTAAATAATGGGCTGTATTTAATGTTACTCCTACTTTAACCCAGAGCAAACTCATTTCAATGCATCTACTCAAAGCAGGACTAAAACTGGTATAACTCAATCCTTTTAATCCAGATATTAGAAACAAATTCACAACCTTCAACCCCAGCCTGTAGCATTTTGAGGTTTTCTTTCCCATATATGTCCATTTTTTTCTTCTTTTCAAAACAATTACACTTGAAAAAGAAAATGGTGGTGATACTGCTACAACAACACCTTTAGGTGGAAGGTTGCCACACTAGTTGGCTATCAGGGATCTAGAGCAATTTTCAGACTTCCATGATTGAATCCCAGCATAACTTACAACATGGGACCTCTTGAAATTTTGCACCATGAATAATTAGAAAAGGTCTATAATTAATTAGAGTGAATTACAAACATTTGCATAGTATGTAAATTAGGCTGCCAGGATTTGAAGAAGATAGGAAGCCCTAGTTGCACCACATCCCGGGGAGTTGTTAATGGAGACTGATAATCAAGAGGATGTGAGGTAACAGACTGAGACTTGCATATTTTTGTACAGCAAAGACACACAACCTTTATGATCTATGGTGGGTACATTTAGTAATCTGAAAAACTGTCTTGGCTACCACCACAAAATGGTTGTGACCAGAAGTTTGACAAAGGACAAGTGGCCTGCATGAAAGACTCTGTGCAAGGCAAAATCTTGGGGTGTTGGAGCTCAGGCTCAACAACTTCTGTAAACCCAATTTTCAGCACCAATAGGAACCTCTTTCTCAACAAATCCAACTGTCATTAAGAAAATGTGTTAATTTGTTTAAAAAGTAAGAGGGCACTATTGCAAGCACACTGGTGCCTACAGGTAGTATGTTGCCTACCCATTTAGGGATGGATAATGCTGGGAATTTCATTCTATTTGAACTGAATGGGATTCCACAGTGCTTCCATTCCAGTAAGTGATAGTAATTACTGAAATGCAGGGAATTTTCCCAATTCCAGAAAGTTTTGGCACAAGTTTGGATGGGGCAGATGGATGAGGTGATTTTTTAAATCTTCACAAGTGTGCAGATTCAGATACATGTAGTCCTTCTTCATCCATTCCAGCTCTTAACAGGACACCTAAGCAGAGTAGATAACGTACAAAGAAACTGACACGGTGATACTACATAAAGAATAATTTGTGCACAGTTGTAAAGGACAAATGGGGGTGGGGGTAATAGTAAGGCAAAGGAGGAGACTATTTGCATAACTCAGAAACACCAAAAAAGAACAAAAATGCAAACCAAATAAGTGTACCAAAGGGATAGAGAGAGGACGACAATATCTTCTACTTGGCAATGTAATCCTTTTAGTATTATGTGAGGAACTGACACTGGTCCATGCCCTCCACCTTTGCAACACCTTCCTGAATCTCCAGGAAGGAGAATTACTGGTTCCCACAACCCTTATTGTGGCTCATTCTCAAAAGAGCTACTGTTGTTGCACAAATTTCCCATCTACTTATTTCCCCAATAATGGGCTAGAAAAGCAGGATATAAATACCATAAACAACAGTAGAAGTAACACATAAGAGCAGAGAGAAAAAATCAGAAAAAGAGAAGAAAAATCAGAGGTACAGAGTGAGAGCAAGAATGAAAGATGGAAAACCACTAAATATAGACCCAGACCTGAAAGCCTCCAAAATTAGCAAGGTAGTGATACTGTGTTAAGTTTGTAAAAATACTTACAATGAAGCTTGGAGCCTTAAAAGGCAATGATTTGGTTGAAGTTTCTACTGGTCCTGTACCAGCATCAGTAGTTATGGTTTTATTTTCATTTGTTGCCTCTGCACTGCTGCTCTGGAAAAACAGATAATGTTGAGACTGAAGGAAAACTCCATGTAAGTAAACAAAAATTTTCACAGAAATCTTCCTGGCATGCACCCCCCGACACACACACACCAATATTTATTCCACCTCTTACAGGCTCTTCATACAAATAATTTACACTTGTTTCCTTACAGTTATTATTAGTCCTAAACCCATTTAACAAGTAACAGTAGTAACAAGTAATCCAAGTAACAGTAGAGTTAAGTTAAAGAAATACAGGAAAGTAATTTCAGGAGTTTCTGGCTGTAAGTGAGAAGGAAAAACTACCTGGTTGCTTTAGAGTTGGTACACAGTCTGTTCACTCAAAAGTAAGTCCCACTGAGTTCAATGGGATTTACAGCACAGGCAATATTCAGAAGTCAGCCCTTCTGAATGCAGTAGAGCTGGGTGGGCATAGGATTGCAAGTTTAGTTGGTCTGATTCTATTATCTTGATTTATTTTTTTAAAATGGAAAAGAACTAATAGGAGGCAAAAAAAAAAAAAAAAAAAGGCAGCAGGACAACAGGCCAGGCGGGCTGGAGGGATATTTTTCCTATGAATCTTTCGTACCTGCTGCAGGGAGGGAGACTAGCATTTGAGTAAGAAAGAATTGAGCACTCCTCCACAGTCACTGTTCTGTTGCAAAGGCTGTTAAGAACTGGCGGCGGGGGGGGGGGTATAGATGACTGCTATAACATCTAGCTTTGTTCTTCCTGAGTGGTGTTAGGCAATCTACACACACTCTCAACTCCCATCCTCTCCTTATTTGCAGCATGGAAAGATGTTCCTTTACCATCTGACATTTCCCTTTTTACTTTTTCTGTAGTAGCCTGATTGATAAAGCATAGGTGTGAAGTTCATCCACAAACAAGAATTAAATGATTGTACAGGTTAATATATGTACAAATGGGATTTTAAAGATCACAAAATACATTGTTGTGAGATTAAAATGTTACAATTTAACTGTTCTGCCTCATACTCACTTGGCATAGTTGCTAAAGGAGTGAAAATTGGCAGAAGAAACATCACTAATTTAAGGTATGTAGATGACACCACACTCCTGGAAGAAAGCAGCAATGACTTGAAATGATTCCCAATAAAACCAAATTAAGAAAGTACAAAAGCAGGACTGCAACAAAAAGCATGTCCAAGAAGAATTATGGAACTTTATTGTTAATACTAAAGAAATTGAAATTGTGAAAGATTTCACATACCTCGAGGCTCAGTCATCAATTCAAAGAGAGACTACAGTCAAGAAATTTGAAAATGACTGAGACTTGGAAGGGCAACAATGAATGAACTAGAGATCATCAAGTGTTTCACTAGGGACGGTCAAGATCATCCACACTTATTTCCAGTTACAATGTACAGACGTGAAAGCTGGGCAGTGAAAAAAGCTGACAGAAAGAAAACTGTCATATTTGAAACATGGTGTTGGAAGAGAGCTTTGCAAATACCCTGGATCAAGAGAAAGACAAACAAGTGGGTCCTAGCTCAAAACAAGCCAGAGCTTTCCCTTGAAGCAAAAACGACGAAACTTGGACTGTCATACTTTAGACCCCTCTTGAGAAGGCAAGAATCACTGGAGAAGACAATCATGTTAGGAAAGTCAAAGGCAGAAGATGAAAGGGAAGACCAAATATGAGATTGACTGAATCCATAAAGGAAGCCAGAGCCTCCAACCTGGAAGAGCTGAATGGAGCTGTCATGCACAGGGCAGTTTGGAGGGCTTTTATTCATAGGGTTGCTATAGCTCACAAAGGAGTTATCATTGTTACATTACATTATTATTATATTACATTGCTAAACACATACAAAAGTAGCCTTTTACTGCTTTCATTTAAATCAAGAACCTAATTACATGCACATCTCTAGCCAGTCAGCATTCATAATACAGAAAAGGGTTCAAGACTGAAATCATCTCTGAAGTCCAGCCCTTCCTCCATCCCTCATGAGCCCTATGCACATTGAGCAGTAAGCAAGACCATTCTTATGGAGCACTTTTGTCCTGGTGAGAAACATAAGTGAAGACTCAGGTTTTCAACAGTTTTCTTGCAAAAGCCACTCTGCTTCCTTAAACACAACTCTTTAGAACTGTCTTATTAGCAGCTGCTGCCTTCCTGCCTGTCCTAGATCTTCTCCAGGAGATGAGTCTTCCATTAAAGCTCATAGCCTTCTACTTTTCGACTCTACCTCCTGCTCCCTTTTTCTTTTTTGCTTTCTCAGGCTCTTTTCTACCTAGTTCCAGCTCCAATTAACGCTGACAAAACTGCATCTAGCCTTTTAATTTTCTGCTGATCACAGCCTCATGTGACCACTTTACATACTTCCTTCAATTCATCTTTGCTCAAGTACCAATACAGTTTCTTTTACAGTGAACCTCACAGAACCAATCAGTTTAGTCCCTTTCTGATGTTCCTGATGGGTATAAATATTGGGACATTCACTTTCACTGTTAACTGCCAAAGCTGTGGCCTCTTTAGCAATTGTAACCAAGGTGTCTTTTTGTAACCTTTGCAGATGTTTGAGGTCTAATTATATACAGTTTTACTTCATGTTTCATTTCAAGTTAAGGTCAAGTTATCCACAGCACCCAACATAACCATTCATGACTTTAAGCACCTTTTACATTAAATTATAATAAAAATGTTTTCTTTACACACGGAAATACACATTATAGCTTGGTATAAGCGAGGCTTTTTGCGAAGGGGGCGGCATAAAAATGCTCTAAATAAATAAATGTGAGCACATCATGCTGCTATTAATAATGCAACTACAGAGGCTGATGGGAAAGTTGGAAACCTTATCTTTAGTAGAAATAAGAGGCAAGAACCTCATTTTCCCTTTCTCAGTACTGGGGAAACGTTAACACTTGGTGCTACTGAAAGTATGCTTTCAGGAAAACTGGGCTTCCTTCTCCACCTGCGAAGGCTGCACAGAATAGTGAACTTCAGCAGCCTTTCTAATCCATAACTAACTGTACTTATCTACCAACAGTGGTACCATCAGGGAGAGACTTTAGAACAGAAGCCACACCCAACAGAATGAGTAAAGCTTCCAAATGCAGCAAGTCTGGCTTATTAGATTTGACATGAATTAATACACATAACCATCTAAAGATCTGGGGATAGCAGCATAAGACTTTAAGTCGAGTCTAAAATCACTTACTTCTATAACTGTTCGCTGTGACTGCTACAATTTTCTTCTGTCTTTCCTGTGCCTTTAATAGCACCGACACAACAGTATCCAGAACTGCTTGCTTGCTAGCCAGCCCTCTACTAGCGAAACAGGAAACTGGTGATTCTGTAGCTATCAAAAATTACCAAAATGGTAATTTGTTTGAACAAGGCAGGTAAGTTCAGCTTGCAGAAGGGAACACTACTGAGCTGGAGCAATCTAGAAATGAGCTTGTTTCCAAGAGGATTGTCAGATCTTTTAGTTCCTGTTGCACAAGGAGTGGGTCTTGCTAGCAAACAAAAATGGTGGGAGCACAGTAGCAGTATTAGATACTGCCAAATATATGGAATTAAGAAGGTGAAGCTTTTTCTGACATGGAGACAAAGTAATGAAGCAAAGTATCTTCTTAATTTTGGTGTGCCAGGTTGTTTGTTCATATCAATATGAATCAAAGACAATCACAGTGAAAATCTAGACAAAGTACCCTAATTTGTTCAAATTAAATGAATCTATCAATCCTTTTAAAGAAAATTAAGTACCAAATGCTTACCAAATCATCCTTTGTGAAAATATTAGTTTTTACTTGTCCATTAAGTATCTATACACTTTTCCTTATACCTCTCTGCAAATTAAAAGGCTACTGTCATTTTTTCCTAACAAAATCTGAAATGTTTGAGAACAACTTAGAACATCTCTAAGAGTTGTTGCTATGCCTTGTATTGCTACTGTTTGGGTGACAGCCCCTGTGAAGTTCATTTACTGAGAAAGAATAAGCTTCACTTCGTTGTAGATGCAGGACCACAATTTCAGGCTCTGTCGTTGCAAGAGCTTTGCTTGTTCCAGCTATGCACCACTCAGCCAACAGTCTAGCTTTACTTTGAATGTAGAATTCTGGAATGCAACAAGGCCCATTGAGTGCATACTTCTGCTAATGGAACCAAAATTAAGAGTTCCAGGTTTCACAAAGCTCCTTTGAGCCTTCGTTTTTAATTAGGGCTGTGTTATATAACCAGCAACATTTGGAAGTGCTCATTTATCATTTCCTGGCTCCAGTGTACACAGTGGCAACCTAAAATCACACATTCTCCCTCTATCCAAGTTTGCTATGGTGTAGGGAGCATTTAGAACAAAAGTATTCTTAGGCTGCCCAGAGAAAAGAGTCAACATTTTAACAGAGGTCTCTTGAAACATCTGCAGAATGTCTCTTACATCCAGAAGTTGTTAATAATGGAGTTTTGAACTGCAGGGTATCTTCTTGATGTAAGTTCAACATTTCTGCCTTTACTACTTTATGAGAATTTGCTGGGCACAATACCAATATTTATAAGACTGCCTTTTGACTTGAAACAGCTAGAAAAAGCAAGGATCCTGCTCAACTTAACATATCTGAAATAAAGTAGCAGACATTTTCTCTTACATGAACCTATATGATAGCTCAGATTGTTTATTAAGCATTAGGACAGGAAAGGAGGAGGTACCTCCAGTTGCATTGGTAGTTTTCTAGGTGATTTATAAAAGATTGACAAGGATTTCTTACTTCTAATCTTTTAATAGGAGCAACAACAAAATCACCCCCTGGCCACCCTAAATTATATTGTTGAAAGGAAGGAATCTTCATTACAATAAATAGATTTTTGTTTAACAGGAATATGAGGTCCTTTCAGGTTTTGTACTCAAAACAAATTACTTGGCTCAGAATTCTGTATTTCTTGTCCTGTTTTGTTTTGCATAAGCATACAATTGTGGTGATTCATGTAATGTAATATAGTCATGTAATGGTGTCTAAATGAACTCACAATTTGCAGGATGGTGC